TTTCTTGTAACTTTCTGCAGGATTCGGGTTTCTGCTGGGTTACTGAGTTCTCCAATACCCAACCTTAAAACCTCCTGGGTTCTTATAATTTAGTAGTACACTTAAAGTTTAACCTTATATTTTCCCTGGCCTTTTGGGGAACTGGGTTCAGTACTTGCCGACTGTTGTGTCTCAGACCCGGAGGCTCAGTCTGTTATCGGTTTAGGGTTTAGGGTTTCGGGTTTCGGGTTTAGGGTTTAGGGTTTAGGGTTTAGGGTTTAGGGTTTAGGGTTTAGGGTTGCTGCTTCTCTGGGCTGCGAAGGCATTGCGCGCCTTCTGCCACAGAAAGCCACAACACGAGAACTAAGCAGTAGTCGTAATAGTCGTCGTCGTAGTAGTCGTAGTAGTAGTCGTCGTCGTCGTGGTCGTCGTCGTCGTCCTAGCAGCAGGAGGAGGAGCTGGGAGATAGTTGGAGTAGGAGCAGCAGCAGCAGCAACACCTGCAGCACCTGCAGATGTACAAGTGGATGTTGGTAGGAGTATCCGTACTGTAGATGTAGAAGTAGAGGAACAGTAAGAAAGGTGTATTCCAGGCGGCTGTGCAGCTTGGCAAGTCACGGCTTTTTGATCAAACAAGATCCACGCTGCTGCCTGTTCCTTCGACACGTTAGCATCCTGCCAATCGCTGGAGGCTTAGATCGCGAACTTTAAGCTTTCAACTCAGTTCTACCAAGTGCCCTCTTATCGTGCCAGAACCGGCAGCAGCGTGGTCCGCGAGGCCTTGCGAGGGTCTAACCAGGTGTCTTATCGAAGTTTTGAGATGACTTGAGCTTTGTCGATTTGTCGGGTGTCCTCAACTCTAAGCCCTAAACCCTAAACCCTAAGCCCTAAACGTCCCTAAGCCTTAAACCGCGTGGGAGTTGTGAAGTTCCCGACAGTCTGGAGCCTGGAGCCCGGCTCCTTTCAGAGCCGCCCGTGGAAGCTTTGAAGTCTAGGTTTGGGGTTTAGGGTTTAGGGTTTAGGGTTTAGGGTTTAGGGTTTAGGGTTTAGGGTTTAGGGTTTAGGGTTTAGGGTTTAGGGTTTAGGGTCTAGGTTTGAGGCTCCGGGCGGTTGAATGGTTATCCTAAGCCCTAGACCCTAAAGCATCCTAAACCCTAAACAGGTCCTTAGTCCTTAAGCGTTTCGATTCGGGGCTCAGAGCTGCCAAACTTCGCTTATATTGGCATTGAGAAGTCAACCTGCTATCTAAGATAGATTAGATTACAAGTTATGATAATATACTATCACGTGGAATCAGACTACTGTCAGGAACTTGGCCGTCAGTCACGCGACTATGCGCCGACCCAAAAACAAACATGGTAACTGAGAAGAGCATAGAAGCCCTAGACCCTAAGCCTGTCAAGAGTGGCATACCATGCCGACTCCCCTAAACCCTAAACCCTAAACCCTAAAGGGCTAAATGGCTACGCCCTGACCAGGGCCATCCTGATACATAGGTGCCTGCGAGCTCACGGAGTGTGGTGGGGGGGTTTGCAGCAGGGGAAAACTAAGACTAAGATGCTGGGGGCTTGAATACTATAGCGCTCCTTAGCAGAGAGTTCTTGTATGATAGAGCCCAGGGCCCTCCACTCTAGACATTCTTCAGGTTCGAATCCTGCAAACCTATAACAGCCCTGTAGCACCCTTATGCATCCCTACAGCACCCTCTACTAACCCAGTGTGAATAATTCTGACCCCCCCATGGTGACGAGGAGGTGATTTGAGCACGCCTTTATCGGGCTTGGGAGCTTCAGTAGCTTTCCGTTTACTATAGTACTGCAGGGGCCTAAATAATTACTGATACTACCTCTTTTTTGGGGGGTTCCTTATTATGGCTATGGTAGAATATGCCCCAAAACCCTATTCTAAAAATTAAGGCCCCTACATTAGGGTTGGGTTTCTTAGCTCCCCGATACCCAACCTTTAAACTTGTTGGGCTCTTATAACTTAGCAGGAATCTGAGAGTTTAACCGTTTATTTCCCTGGCTTATTGGGGAAGTAAGTTAAGGGTTTAGGCTTCAGAGTTTCGGGTTTAGGGTTTAGGGCCCCAAAACCCTATTCTAAAAATTAAGGCCCCTACATTAGGGTTGGGTTTCTCAGCTCCCCGATACCCAACCTTTAAACCTGTTGGGCTCTTATAACTTAGTAGGAATCTGAGAGTTTAAGCGTTTATTTCCCTGGCTTATTGGGGAAGTAAGTTAAGGGTTTAGGCTTCAGAGTTTCGGGTTTAGGGTTTAGGGCCCGGGGTTTAGGGTTTTGGGTTTTGGACACTCTAAGTCCTGCTTGTGAGAGATTCGAAAAGGGTTTTACGAGGGCCGAGGGCGTGTGATCTCTAACTTAGCTAGGACCTATTATTTTAGGGTTTCGGGGTTTAGGGTTTAGGGCTTAGCTGCTTAGCTAGGACCTTTTCCTTTAGCTATCCTGGTTCCCTCAGGGTTCTTATATGACCTGATTCTAGGGTATAAGAAACCCTAAACCCTAAATCCCGGTTCTAGGTACCATGATGCACAAAGACTTCAGCTTGGGCGCTTGAAAAGTTCGGCCTTTGTGTAAGGTTGAGTGTTTGAGGATTAGGGTTTGGGGTTTGTTGGGGCTTAGGGTGTTTGGCGCCTAGGCGCGTATCATAGCATCTTTGGCTGTAGGCGTGGTGTCTTGAGGTTTCCTCCTCTTCTGTACTCTGGGTTGTTTTTTGTGGTTTCTAGCTTGTTGCACTTCCAAAGTCTCTTTGGTAGGGAACTTCTAACACTTGATTTGGTTACCTACTGAGGGGAGTCATGTATTCAGGTGCTGTCTTTGTAAAGACCTGCTTCTTCCGAGACCATCGCAAGAATCCAGAAGATGGATCCTAGCAAAGACGGCCTATCTTAACCCATAAATGGTTTAGGGTTTAGGGTTTAGGGGCACCCGTCTAAACGTGTTCTATCTCCCGGATCCTTTTCAGGCTTAGGGTTCTGTCTTTCGGATCCTTTTTTACATGGTCTGGGTTCTTGTTTCGGCGCAAACCCTAAACCCTGAACCCTAAACCCTAAACTTAGGGTTCTGTCTCTCGGATCCTTTTTTGCATGGTCTGGGGTCTTGTTTCTGCGCAAGACCTACACCCCCTAAACGCTGAAGCACGAGATGACCGCCCAACGAAAGGCTTGCGATGACGCCATGACCTAGTCCGTGCTCAGCTAGCACGTAAGAGAATATATATGTATGTATGTATGTATGTATGTATGTATGTATGTATGTATGTATGTATGTATGTATGTATATGTATTTATGTACATATAAATACATACATACATACATACATACATACATACATACATACATACATACATACATACATACATACATATATATGCTAATATATACACATATGTATATATATATATACACATACAATGCACATTCGTATGTACATACATACAGAAATGTTTATGTGTTTTCATACATACATGCATATGTAAGTATAAGGCCTTGTCGGGCCGTAAATGAAAGGATAGCATTCCAGGACTACGCAGTGGGAGTCTTCTCGCCAGATTTGGTGTTAAACCCTAAACCCTAAACTCTAAGCAGCACTGCTCAAGAACAAAAAGTCCTAAACCCTGAACCGCTCAAGAGCCTTTAGATTAGATTCCAAATCTAAAGACGAAATGTCAAACCCTCTTTGGCTTAGCTTGTATGACCTCATACCCTAAAGCTAAACCAAACCCTTAAATCTAGCCTAATCCCTGATCCCAGCACCTCGAGCCGTAAACCGTTGACCTAATATCCTTAGCTCCTTTTACCTTAAGCCCTAAACCCTAAACCCTAAACTCTAAATCCGATACCTCAAGCCGTGAAGGTTCACATGGCTTGCTGGCCAACAGGTCAAGGCCGCTTCGCTTTCGTCTGGCTGGGGCTGAGGGGGTTCAGGGTGTCAGGGCTTTTAGGGTTGAGGGTTTAGGGTTTCGGGTTTAGGGTTTGGGGTTTAGGGTTTAGGGTTTAGGGGTTTACGGTTTAGGAGTTTAGGGTTGGGGTTTGAACGCCTAAGCGCTAAATCCTAAACCCCCTAGGGTTTTAACCCCTAAGCCCCAAACCCCAAACCCCCTAATTGACCCCTAAACTCGAAGCCCGAGTAGTATGCAGGGGTTGGGATGTTATGGTCTAGGGTGTAGAGTGGGGCCTAAATAACTCAGTTCCCCAACACCCACCCCGAATCCTAAACCCTAAACCCTAAACCCTAAACCTAAACCCTACCCAACCTTTAAACTTTTGGGATTCATAGAATTTAGTAGTAATCTGAAAGTTTAACATTTTATTTCACTGGCTTCTTGGGGAAGTCAGTGAAGGATCGACCCACCTATCTATGCGTCGGCTTTAGGGGTCTAGGGTTTAGCGTTAGTCATACGGTTGATGTTATAAACCCTGCATTACCCATAATAAGGAATAGACCATAATTCCCATAGTTTAGGGTAAGAGAATGCAGGATTAATATCATCGGCAGTATTCATGTATCGGCTTTAGAGGTTTAGGGCTTAGACTCTAGATGTCTACCTATTCATGTATATATATATATATATCTATCTCTCTCTCTCTGTGCGTGTAGAGAGATAGGTCTAGCAGGTTTTGTTGGCTTGGCTTGCACAAGACTTCTTGCAATCTGCACGTTTTTGCAATTTTCAGAGCACAAGCCCTTAAACCCTAAACCATTTGTCCAGAAATCCAAAATCCCGAAACCCAAAACCTTAAATCCTAAACCCTAATCGATTTGCGTGGACCTGTCCCATTCTGCAGGCAGCTGGAATTATTCGAAGTAGTATTCCTCAGGGTTCCTCGTTACGATTATAGGCTACTCAAGATTCTGATTTGGAAGAATTCCCTCAGGTTGGGAGCTAGGATTAGGGGGACCCTTGGGGATACAGACCCTCTCAATAAGGTCCGTTTTAAGAGAGCCAAAAGTAGGGTTCAGAAGGGGTACCCTTTAAGGGGTACCCCTAGTAATACTACCTACAGGTGAAGAACACCTTCTTGGATGACGTGCTTCCCGACCACTCGTCATCGAATGAATCCACCCTGACTGGCGAGGCATATCGACTTGCGGTTTAGGGTTTAGGGTTTAGGGGTTTAGGGTTTAGGGTATTTTGGGCTCCTTTGTAATGTATTTTTAGCTCCTGTGGAATCATAGAATCATATCATATTGGTGATTGCATATTTGTTTTCCTTGGGGGGGGGGGGCGTCCTAGAAATAGAAGCCCTGCATCACTCAAGTTCCCTGAGCCTTCAATTGAATAAGTTTCTGGGTCTTGTTTCGATGGGAAATATGCGAAAAAAGGAATGTAGAAGCCTCAATAACGGATAGCGTTGGCCTCTTTAACAAATTTGAAACTACAACCTACCTAAAAAACCCTAAACCAATTACTCCGGTCCCTGTATTCAGTCTTGTAGGATCGAGGTGAAGTTCCAGGGCGTAGCGGCTCTTGGGACTTAGGTGAACTTAGGTGTTAGAGGATTTGTCTGCTAGGCTTCAGGGTATAAAGTTTAGGGTTTGGGCGTTAAAGTTTAGGGTCCAAAGTTCAGGCTTTAGGCTTTAGGGTCTAAAGTTTAGGGTTTAGGGTTTAGGGTTTAGTTTAGGGTTTAGGGTGTGGTTTAGGGTTTAGGGTTTAGGGTGTAGTTTAGGGCTTTGGGTGTAGGGTTTAGGTGCCGACTTCAGCTCCGGATCTTCAGCCATATCGGACTTTGGGACAACGCGCACCGGCGATCTTCGTGCCCTCTGCTGTTTAGGGTTTAGGTTTTAGGGTTTAGGGTTGTGAGTTTGGACCTTGCTGAAACTGTGAAGGGCCAGGCGTGGTAATTAGTAAGTAGGTAATAAGTAGAGTTATAAGTACCCTAAAAGGGCTCCTAATTGGGGTTATGAGACTTATAAGTCTAAAAGATAACCAGTTACTAAGTCCCCTGACCCTCCAAGTAACCCTAAACCCTAAACTCTAACAAGCAAGACTTCAAAACCCCAAACCCTAAACCCTAAACCCTAAACTCTAACAAGTAAGACTTCAAAACCCTA